CCTAGGATTACTCAGGAGATCTCATCTATTTCCCCTTTCCAGGGTGATACATGCCTTCCTCTTAGGGTCCTCCTTGTTAGCTAGCTTCTCTGGAGCTGTGGGTTATGATCTGGTTATCCTTTGCTTTACATCTAGTATCCACTTATAAGTGAGGAAATACCACATTTGCCTTTCTGAGTCTGAGTTACCTTACTCAGGATGATATTCTCTAGTTCCATCCATTTGCCTGCAAGTTTCATGATGCCATTGTTTATTACTGCTGAGTAGTACTCTGTTATATATATGTACCAGGTTTTCTTTATCCATTCTTCAGTTGAGGGCCATCTAGGTTGTTTCCAGGTTCTGGCTATTGTGAATAATGCTGCTATGAACATAGTTGAGCATGTGTCCTTGTGGTATGATTGAGCATTCCTTGGGTATATGCCCAAGGGTGGTATAACTGGGTTATTTATTTATTTATTTACTTACTTACTTACTTACTTATTTATTTATTTATTATCAGCTTGATACAGTATAAATTCTTATCCTAATACTGAAATGTTTGATTGAGGGTTGCCCAGTAATTGAGTAAAACTAAAACTTATTATAAGCCATAATCATCCTAGGGTCCTCCCTGCTATATAGCCTCCATGGTTCTGTGGGTTGCAGTCTGATTGTTTTTTGCTTTATATCTAGAATTCACTTATGAGTGAGTATATACCATGTTTGTTCTGGGTTTGGCTTACCTCACTTAGGATGATATTTTCTAGTTCCATCAATTTGCCTGCAAATTTCATGCTGTCATTATTTTTCTCTGTTGAGTAGTACTCCATTGTGTATATGTACCACATTTTCTTAATCCATTCTTCAGTTGACAGGCATCTAGGTTGTTTCCAGGTTTTGGATATTACAAATAGTACTGCTATAAACATAGTTGAGCATGTATCTTTGTGGTATGATTGAGCAACAATTCTTCACAGACTTGGAAAGAAAAATACTCAACTTCATATGGAAAAACAAAAGACCCAGGATAGCTAAAAGAATCCTCTATAATAAAGCAACCTCTGGAGGTATCACCATCCCTAACATCAAGGTCTACTATAGAGCTAGAGTAATAAAAAAACAGCTTGATACTGCTATAAAAACCAACATACAGACCGATGGAATCAAATTGAAGACCCTGCCATTAATCCACACACATATGAACACCTGATTTTTGACAAAGAAGCCAAAACTATACAATGGAAAAAAGAAAGTATTTTCAAAAAATAACTGGGTCTGGAAGTAGATTGATTCTCAGTTTTCTGAGAAGTCACCATACTGATTTCCAAAGTGGCTGTACCAGTTTGCACTCCCACCAACAGTTCCCCTTGTTTCATATCCTCTCCAACATAAGCTGTCATCAATGTTTTTTATCTTAGCCATTCTAAAAAGTGTAAGATGGTATCTCAGAGTCATTTTAATTTGTATTTCCCTGATGAGTAAGGATATTGAGCAATTCCTTAAATGTCTTTTGGCCGTTTGAGAGTCTTCTATAGAGAATTCTGTTTAGTTCTGTAGCCCATTTTTTAACTGGATTGTTTGATATTTTGATGTCTCATTTATTGAGTTCTTTATATATTTTGGAGATCAGCACTGTGTCACATGTGGTGTTGGGGAAGATAATTTTCCACTCTGTAGGCTGTTGTTTTGTCTTATTTACTGTATCCTTTGTTTTACAGAAGCTTCTCAGTTTCAGAAGTCCCATTTCTTAATTGTTGCTCTCAGTGTCTGTGCTACTGGTGTTATATTTAGAAAGTGGTCCCCTGTGCCAATGCATTCAAGGCTACTTCCTACTTTCTCTTTTATCAGGTTTCATGTTACTAGATTTATGTTGTGAGCCTTGATCCACTTAGACTTTAGTTTTGTGCATGGTGATAGATATAGATCTATTCTACCTGTTGATATCCAGTTAGGCCAGCACCATTTTCTTGAAGATGCATTCCTTTTTTTCCATTGTACAATTTGCCTTCTTTGTCAAAAATCAGGTGTTCATAGGTGTGTGGATTGATGTCAGGCTCTTCAATTCGATTCCATTGGTCCACATGTCGGTTTTTATGACAATACCAAGCTGCTTTTATTACTATAGCACTATAGTAGAGCTTGAAGTCAGGAATGGTGATGTCTCCATAAGTTGCTTTATTTTACAGGATTGCTTTATGTAGACAAATTTCTAAATAGCCTTATTAAATAAGAAACACAGAGCCAAATATAGGGGTGAAAGCCATAGAGATCAAGGAAATAGTGAGAGTCACCAGCTAATCTTAGCTCACCACACTGCCATAGCTTCCCGAGAGAGCTCCTTCCTGTCTACCCAGCCTCTTATTGCCTTGCTGTTCTGCCCTCTCATTGGCTCTTAGCCCAGCTACCTCACTTCCTTGTCACTGCCTGTCTATACAGACCTTCGGGTCTCTATGGTTGGTACTCAGATTAAAGGCGTGTGTCACCACACTTGGTTGTTTCCTAGTGTGTCCTTGAACACACAGAGACTCTGCTAGCCATGTGATCAGATTAAGGGCATGTGCTATCACTGCCTGACTTTTGTTTATAGCTGGCTATGTCCTCTGATCTCCAGGCAAACTTTATTTATTAACATACAAATAAAATATCTTCATATTTCAGCACAAATAAAATATAACCACAGTTTTAGCTATCCTGGGTTTTTTGTTTTTCTATATGAAGTTGAGTATTGTTCTTTCCAGGTCTGTGTAGAATTGTGTTGGAATTTTGATGTGAATTGCATTGAATCTGTAGATTGCTTTTGGTAAGATTGACATTTTTATTATGTTGGTTCTACCTATCCATGAGCATGGGAGGTCTTTCCATTTTCTGATATCTTCTTCAATTTCTTTCATCAGAGACTTAAAAAGTTTTTGTCATACAGGTCTTTCACTTTCTTAGTTAGAGTTATCCCAGGGAATTTTATATTATTTGTGGCTACTGTAAATAGTTATGTTTCTCTGATTTCTTTCTCAGCCCATTTATCATTTGTATATAGGACAGCTACTGATTTTTTTTTTTTTTAGTTAATCTTGTATCCTGCCACATTACTGAAGGAGTTTATCAGCTGTAGGAGTTCCCTGGTAGAATGTTTGGGGTCACTTATGTATACTATCATATTGTCTGCAAATAGGGAAAGTTTGACTACTTCCTTTCCAGTTTGTATCCACTTGATCTCTAGATACATCGACTTCTGCACTAGCTTTGAGGACACCAACTGTGTGAGGATCGGCAGGGAAACAGCAGATGTAGTGGCCCAAGTACTATGGGAACACATCATTCCTAGATTTGGCCAGCCACTCCCATACAAATGGACAATGGGCCGGCTTTCACTTCCAGGGTCATGGAGCTCCTGTCAGAAGCTCTCAACATTTCCTGGAAGCTCCATATTCCTTACCTCGCACAATCCTCAGGAAAGGTTGAGAGGCCAATGGACTCAAAACAACAGCTCACTAAGCTCTCCATTGAACTCAGGTTGTCTTGGCCGATCCTTCTCCACATGGCCCTTACCCACCTCTGGGCCACACCAAGCTTTCCTACAGGCCTGAGTCCTTCAGAGCTCCTTTACAGAAGGCCCTTCCTCCTCAATCACAACTCCCCAGCCCAGACTCCTCCACTGTCCAGGTACCTCCTCTACCTCTCCCTTTTGAGGTCCCCTCTCTGTTCACATGCTGACAGCTGTCCCCCTGCTGCAACACCAACACACCCAACTGCCCCTGAGCCTGCCCCACTCTCCCTGGGGGACAGAGTCCTCCTCAAACAGCTAGCTCCTAAATCTCTTCAGACCCAGTGGATAGGACTTCATACTGTGATCCTCACCAACTCCTCAGCTGGGAAGCTCCTGGGACATCTCTGCTGGTGCCATCTCTCCAGGTTCAAGCGGGCATCTATTCAGAATACATGGTCTGTCCAGCAGCTGGGACCCTCCACCCTCCTGTTTTCCAAAATGTCCCAATGAAGGGCCTATCTGCTCTTCTGCCTTGTGCAACTAGGACAGATGTAAATAATCTATTTTTTTCCTAGCAACTTGCTTTCTCTGCTTCCTCAAGAAACATATGCCTGAGGTTTCTAAGATAACAATTAACCAGATGCTTCTCCACTCACACCTCCTGAATGTGCGTCCACCAACTACCAACTCCCATCTTCTCCAATCACCTCATGCCCACAGGAAGTAGCCAGACTTGAACTAGTGCCCCTATACCCAAAGAGTCTGGAATATTCTGGTGGAAGCTCCACCTCAGCTCCTGGCACCCTGACATTCATATACCCAAAGATTCGGGTTCTGGTGGGCCTCTACCTCTCTGCCAGAGTCTGCTGCCCAGAAAGTCCCACCAAACATGGCTACTCCCCCAAAGATGTGTAAGGCCACTCCACCAGGGTATTTAAATTGCCCCCCCCCCAAAAAAAACCAGACATGTAGATTTTCGGTCCCTGTCCCCTCTCTGAAGGAGCCAGAGAACCATCTGGGAACACTTCACCCATTAAACTGGGACTTATTCTAATTTGGTCTGATTTGCTCTGATTTGGATTGCTGCATCAGCAGAGAAGCTTATCAGGGTGCAAAAACTCTTCACAGATCTTTAATTTTATAGCCACTGGATTACATTTTTTCTCATTATTTATACATTTAATTGTGTGTTTCAAGAAGCCTGTTCACCACACCATTTTTTTTTTGCAATGGAAAAAATCCCATTTTTGGCAACAAGAAGCCAGTTGAAGGATATGCATAGATTTGTAAATTCTGTGTTTCAATTTCAAAATATAAACTACCACAACTTCTCTTTTTCTAATACAACCACACACTTGAAGTGGGCATCAGTGAGAAAAGATAAATATGACTTGCTGGTCTGTAGTCACCTTAGCTAATACCTTTGCTGTATTTGTCTTCCTCAACTCCCTGGTTCACGCCTGAGGGTAGAGGGAGTTGGACCACGACAAAACATAAGACTCATCAGAGGTAGGGAGACAGGGAGTGAAAAGAATTGGTGCCAATGATAATATTAACTTTAATGGTTCGATAGTCTGGGAGACAGTCCATTTGATGGCAGCATCTATGGCTTTCACTTTCTTGACCAGTGTGTGGTGGATCTGTGGTGTAATGCCAGATACTGCCACAGCCATAGGAGTAGAGAAAATCCCCATGTAGGGTCCTTTCCTTTCCAAGTTGCTTCCAGAATCGCTTTGGCTATTTGATTGACCCAGATAATTCACCAGTCTTGAACAAAAGGAAACTGGTAGTGGACCTGTGGACTTGCCAGTAGGCTGACTTTCTTGTATTGTATGATGAATAACCTTTAGGGAAGACTGGAGAGCCTGTAGTGATGAGAAAGGAACAGTTAGAGAGTTCTTCAAGTGGCTGGTCTCTGAGCCAGAAAAACAGATCTTCCAAACCCAATCTCATATGGGGAACATCCCTGCCATATGGGGTGCAGTGGACCCCATGTGAAGCAAAGGGAAGATCGACCTGCTCTTTGCCAGACGCTAATGAGTTTTGTTGGTTTATGTTAACATCCTCTTCATTCTTGTTTCTTGCTCAGAACTGAGGTCTATATGCACAATGAAGTTCCCAATTCATTAAGTTCTATCCCTTAAAACTTTTTATATAAATTGAGAGATTTGGGATATGAAACTTGGGCCACTGTTGGAACCCACCACTGGAGAAGGATGGAGGACCAATTCTCTGAGTTTTTAAAGCTATAACTTGTGCAGTTACAGTCCAGGTAGGGAATGTTTCTACCTACTCAGGAAAGGTGTCTATAAAAATTAGCAAGAACCTGCACCCTCCTCTGGCAGGCTGGGTCTAAGTGAAGTCAGTTTCCTAGAGTTTGCTGGATTGCTGGCTTCTCATTCAAACACACTCCTGAGAAAGGGCTCTCTGTTTTGGATTTACTTGAGCATAAGCTCAGCATCTGGCTGAGACATCCCAGTTTTGTTTTCTCAGTTGAGGTACCTGAGGGAAAGGTTAACCTTACAGGTTTCTGTTTGGATGTAGAAACCTCTTGTTTCCCATGCTGGAGAATGAACTGACACTCCCTGCTCTAAGCGGCTAGTTGAAATGCCCTGGCAGAGGACTATGGGGAACAAGGGAGCTGTCTCCAGGCTTTTCTGAGGAGGTGCTTAACATTATCTTCACAACTGGGTAGACAAGGGGCAAGGGCTATTCTCAAACAAGAGTAGGAAGATAAGAACAAGTGTCAGGGCAGGGACAGGTCTCAGTCCTGAGACTCAGAGTCGAATTGCTTATTTTCTTCTTGAGTCTCAATCAGAACAGAAGCCACAGAAAGTCCCATGCTAGAAGCAGATTTCTTTACTGACCTCAAAGTAAACTGCAGCCATCCAGGGCTTCAAATTTACCCTGGAGGCCTGACTCCTTCTGCTAAAGAGGAATAGAGCTTTGATGTCAAAGTAAAATAGTACTTCTGAGGTCTTTTTTGTAACAAAAAAATGTATTTTTGTTACAAAAAGAAGTGTTTTTTCTCAATGCTCATTTCAATACATTGTTGTAAATTAAGAAGTGTTTTACACATCAAAAGGTTCCATTGGACACATTCAAGTAAAATCATAAAATATGCAAGGTAAACAATGACACAGCCAAATATATGGCTTGGTAAAAGTTAAAAGGTTGTCCATTCAACTGGGGTGGCGATGGTGGTACACACATTTAATCCTAGCACTTGTGAGGCAGAGGCCAATCTGGTCTACAGAGGGAATTCTCCAACAGCCAGGGCTATACCAAGAAACCCCATCTCAAACAAACAAACAAACAAACAAACAAACACCCACAAAAAAATTGGGAGGAGAAAAAGTATTCTGTATCCAGAAGAACCAGTGAGGAATCTTCACTTCTGAAGAAGTGAACTGAGAGCATCAGATAAAATCTATGAGCAAGCTGAGTGTTTACTCAACACTGGAGGCAGATGGACCATTGAGTTTCAATGGTGCCATTATTGGCCACCTGCAGAGGCATTGTGTACTCAATCCAAAACAATGAAGGTAATGCTTCCCATCATGGCCAGTGAACACACACACAAACAGAGCTTGCACTTACAATATTTACCTAGCTTAATGTAAACTATTTTAAGTGATGGAATAATTATTTGTAGCACAAAAAGCCTATAGTGTCAAAGTCTCCTGAGCTATAATTTTTCATTCTTTTTTCCCAATTAAAAGGTTTTCCTGCTGAAGTACATGGAATTGGACTAGCATTGGACATTTTTTGTACATAAAGTATTTTAGAGGAAAAATTAGGTCACCACCACTCCTGGGATATGGATAACACTCCTGGGAATGGATAACAAAGTGTGGTCAGGCACTGAATTCAGTGGTGTTTCAGAAAAGCTGCCAGGTGACCATGGCAGCTGGAATCTCCAGTCTTACTATTTGTTGTAAAAATAATAAGAGGCAAATTATTCTAAGAATGGTTAGTGGAATGTGTTTGTTACTGTAACTACATCTGAAGCAGTGCATTGCACCAGGGATTCTGAATAAGAATTCCCTGATGTTCGCTGTATGTTCACAGTGTCAGCAATGGTGACTCATAGACCAACATCATCCTCCTAAGGTGGTAGTCCCAAAGGGGATAGGTGGTTCCAAGAGGTGGAGAAATCCTGACTGGGAGGGCAGTTCTTCCCAGAGTGGCAATCCTGGCATCATGAAAGTTCCAGGGTTGGGGCTTGGCACATTTGACAATATTATAAGTACAAGGTAAATGTTGTGATTTCATTTAGAGAGACGATTAGGAGGAACAGTAATGACAATCAAATTAAAGAACTCACTCATACCTATCACAATCCCTGTAGGTTACATTGTATACCCTTTATACTCTCTTTACTCACATTTGGCTAAAATTTAAACAGTCTTTTAAAATGTAAACACTTAACCATTTAGGTATAGAAGGAAGTTATCTAGACAATAAATATCACGTGTGATAAACCTATTGTTTTCATCATACCCAATAATGAAAACTTCAAAGCTTTTCCTGTGAGGCCAAGAATAAGGCAAACATGTATACCTCTGCCATAATAATTTATAACAGTACTAGAAGTCCTAATGAAATCAATTAGACAAGAAAATGAAATAGGAGACTTCTAGACTCTAAGGTGAAGATACGATAACTTTGAACACAGGACATAAATCAAGCTGCAATTGAGCTGAAAGCTTCATCTCTGTTGGACAGTATCTATATTGCCAGAGGTGCTAAACAAGCTGCTGTGGAGAACATTTATCAATGCCTTTCCTATCTGTGGACCCTGCATTCTACTCCAGCAGTCTCAGTCACGGTGTGCCCATTGATAAAAGTGACATGACTGTAACCAATATGGGGCTGGTTATATGCAGGTACATGCCTGGTATTGTGATCTGATCTCAAGCTTGTAGCTGAGAATATCACAGGCACTGATATCCTAGGTAAGGGAAGAATTTACTAGTGATGTTTCATTAAGTAATTAAATTGACACATAGCCCAAATGCCTTCTAAATGTACATATTTATACCCAATGACTAATGTTACTCTAACCCTGGGTCAGAGAAGCTTTGTTTTACACAAGGCAACAGTTAATGAGAGATTCATAAATAGTACACTTGCTCAGAATAAGTGAATGATGAGTTTTCAGTCCTAATTAGGATATCTATATTATCCCCTCCTCTGAAGTCCAAATAATGCAGAAAGATGTAAGAGCCAGAGAGTAGTGAGTAGTGAGGGGAGCTGTGGAACACTGTCATCTGGATATGACCTGTCAATTGTAATCATGAACACAGTTGTGGGGCTACCTAGATTAAAAAAGACCTACATTAAAAAAAGACATGCAAGTAGGCGGTGGGAGTCTAGTTGTGAAGAAGGGAGTGGGAGGGGACAGGAGAGGATAAGTGGGTGAATATGAACACAACACATGCATGAAACTGGAAAAATTTTTTAAAAGGCCATACAAGTAAGGAAATAAGTGTTCTTTGTTTGTTTTTGTTTTTGTTTTTTTACTGATAACATGCTCTTCAAGCTAGAAAAATCATAAAATCTATACTAAAAATCTGACAGGACTAATGCATTTCAGTTAAATTGTAAGATTGAAAGCAACACCCATAATTTGTTCTCAAGCACTGATGAAAGATTCTATGAAAAATAAATTAAGAAAATGATCTCATTTCCAAAGGCATAAACTAGAATAGAATATTGGGGAATGGGTTTAATCAAAAGGTAATAAATAAGCCTTTGTTTTGAAAACTATATGGTTGAAAAGAAATTTTAGAAACCAGAAAAAAGTAAAAAGATACATAATATAAAAAGATGGGAAAAAGACAAGACTGCCTTGTACTCACTATGTAGCCAAGGACAACCTTGAACTTCTTATCCTCCTGCCTCCGACTCCTAAGTGCTGGGGTTACAGGTATGTACCACCATGCCAGTTTATGGAGGATCAAACCCAGGGCCTCCAGAATACCTGGCAGATACTCTACCAACTGAACTACAGAGCCCAGCTCTCAAAATAGATGTTTGAAAACACATGGAACTAGAATCTCTTTAGATAAATCCTCTGTTTGTTTATCTTATTCTTATTTTACCAGCACTAGGATTTGATACCATGGCTTCATGGAAGTTACCCATTTGTTTGAAGACTAAGCTCTATATATCCTCAACTTACTTCTTATTGTTGTATTTTGAAAAAAAAAAATAGAGACAGAATCTTACTAAGTTGCCCAGGCAGATCTTAAATTTTCAACCTTCTGATGCTAAACCTGAATATATGAGGAGAAACATCAAATCCATGACTGTCCAATTAAAGCAAGCCTTATTTTAGAGGTACACCGGGACTGGCCACCTCACCCAAGCAGTCTTAACCTAAGTTAGGATTTGAGAGAGCAGCCCATTACTGTTTTTTGGGGGGTACCTTTTATGGGGAAAGATTATGTTAACGGAAAACAGTTGTAAGTGTGTTTATAGGGTCAAGATAATTGGTTATTGGAAAAAATACAAAGAAAGTAAGCATGAAAGCATTATCATGTGAAAGTCATACATTATGGGGTAGATCATCAGGAGTATAGATCACAAAATTGAAAACATTTTGAAAGGCAAAGAGCAGTCATACATCATCAGGTCATGAGTTCAGCAAGGCAAAGGGTGGTCATATATCATGAGGTTACAAGGACAGTGCAGTTTTGCTGGGTACATTAGTTTGGGAAACAGAAACATATTCTTGTAAAATATGGAGACTTACTAACAGTGTAGCTCCTGTTCTGGTTTCCCTCCTCCCTTGGCCTCCTAGTAGCTAGGATTAAGGGCCTGTGCTACCAGACCCAGCTGTGCCTAGTAAATATGTTTC